AACAGATAAGATCATTTCTAGAAGACTAGTCATTAATTTTCATATAGAGGCATGTTTTCTTTCTTAAAATGCACTGGGTCATGTGGTTACCAGAGCAGCAGAACAGAGCAGAAAGTTGCTGAGAGCGAGGAGAGGTCAGTGGGAGAGCTACAAAAACATAAAGCATAAAATCAAAAATCACAAATAGTTAGGACAGAGAGCTACGCATCCACACTGGTGATGCTGCAGGTTAAGTGCAGCACTGTAGAGCTGTCTGTAGCCTCTGCAGTGCTAATTTGATTCCTGGAAGGCCAGGGAGATAATCACATGACACGGCAGACCTCTCCTGTCTCGCCCTTTGCTCCCCTCAGCAGTGTTTTTGGTTGTTTGTCTGTTCTGCTCCCTGCTCTGTCTCTGGTGAATCATCCCACCCCCCCCCCCCACAACTCTGGCCTGTTCCCCAGTTCTTGTATAATAAAGAAAGAAAGAAATCTTAAAAAATCCTTAAAAATATATAAATATTATAATTTAAAGAAATTTAAGATCTGGGCCTCCTGTGGTGGCACAGGCAGTTGAGTGTAATGCTCTGAGGCTGTCTGCAGCCTCTGCAGCACCGGTTTGATCCGCCAGTCAGCAAGGGTCCCACACAGTGCGGCAGACCTCTCCTGTTGCACCCACTGCTCCCCTCAGCAGTGCATTTCATCAGTCTGCCTGTTCTGTTCCCCACTCTGTCTCTGGTGAATCCACTCACCTTCCCATGCATCTGGCCTGTACCCTGGTTCTTGTATAAATAAATAAATAAATCTTTAAAAATAAGAAAAGAATTTTAAGATCTGTGTAGCATCTTTACTGCCAAACCAAGTAACATCTTGTTTAAAATTTACTCTATGAAAAAAGCAATATATATATAATGGTATGTGAGAGATACAATAATTAATATATATGTATATATATATTTATATATATGTATATATAAATTTATATATTTATGTATACACACACACACATAAATCTCCTTTCTGGTCAGAAAGGAGTCTTATTTACCAGTCTTCTTTAGAAGAAATGTGCTATGAAGTATTTGTTTAGGAAGGCAGGAAATTAATTTACGGTCCCCAGAACTTATGTTCAAAATGTATTAGTACATAACCCTTCCATTAAGTGCTAACGGCTACTCTTCTTTTTTGACAAGGGAGTCATTCTTTTTTTTTTTTTTTAATTTTTGAGTCTTATATTAAAGACTATCAAGATATTACAACTGATTAAAAAATCAAAGATCATAAGAGGCTACTATGAACAACTACATACCAACACATGAATGGGACACTTAGAAGAAAAACATGTAACTTAGCAAGAAACATGGAGAGGAAAAAACAGAAGAGGAAGAAACAGAAAATTTGATAGAGGGCCTCCCTGGTGGCGCAAGGGGTTAAGACACAACCTATGATACTATCCACAGCCAGTGCAGCACGAGTTAGATCCCCCTGCCAGAGAGCTACCCACATGGTGCAGCAGACCTCTCCTGTCATGCCCGCTGCTCCTCTCAGCAGTGTATTTGGGTCCTGCTGCCTGTTCAGCTCCCCACTCTGTCTCTGGTGAATCCTCTCACCCTCCCGTACCTCTGGCCTGTACCCCAGTTCTTTTTTGCATAAATAAATAAAACTTTAAAAAAAAAAAAAGAAAATCTGATAGACCAAGTACTAGTGAGCTTGAAGCAATAACAAAAAATCCCCAATGGGGCCTCCCCGGTGGCGCAGCGGGTTGAACACAGCACTGTGAAAGCTGTCCACAGTCTTTGCAGCGTAGGTTTGACTCCGGGCTGGCGAGCGAGATTCCCACATGGCACGGCAGATCTCTCCTGTCGCACCTGCTGCTCCCCTCAGCAGAATATTTTGGTCGTCTGCTCTCTGCTCTGTCACTAGTGAATCCTCTCACCCTCCCGCTCCTCTGGCCTGTACCCCAGCTCTTGTGTAAAAATAAATAAATCTTAAAAAAAAAATCCCCAATGAAGAAAAACTTAGGAGCAGATGGTTTCACTGATGATTTCTACCAAAAATTTAAAGAATTAACAACAATCATTTTTTATATTGTTCCAACAACTGAAGAGTAGGTAAATCTAACAAATTTATTTTATAAGGTCAGCATTATTTTGATACCAAAACCAGAAAAAAATCCAAAAAACAAACAAACCAAAAAAATGAAGTAACAGAAAAGAAAACTATAGGTCAATATCCCTGGTGAAATAGAGGCAAAAAATTCAATAAAATACTAGAAAACTGTCCTCCCTGCTGGCACAAGGGGTTAAGCACAGCAATGTGAAGCGATCCACAGCCACTGCATCACCAGTTCAATCCATGGCCAGCCAGGGAGCTACCCACATGGTGCAGCAGACCTCGCCTGTCTCTCCTGCTGCTCCCCTCAGCAGTATATTTCAGTCAGTCTGCCTGTTCTTTTCCTCACTCTGTCTCTGGTGAACCCTCTCACCCCCTGTACCTCCAACCTGTATCCTAGTTCTTGTAAGCATAAATAAAATAAATCTTTAAAAAATACTAGAAAACTGAATTCAATAGATCTTAAACAATCATTTACTATGATCAAGCAGAATTTCTCCTAGGTTTGCAAGCATGTTTCAATATATAAATAGCAAGTATTTTGATGCCTCATTTAACAGAAAGAAAAGAATCATATAATCATATCAGTACATGAAGAAAAAGGACTTGACTAAATTCAACATACATTCATAATAAAACAGAACATTTTAGGCAAAAAGGAACATTTCTTAATAATAATTCATGTAACAATAGCCTTTGTTGAAAAGTTAATCTACTGAATGGTGAAAGATTGAAAGCATTGCCTCTACATTAGGAACAGGACAAGAGTAATCACTTTCACCACTCTGTTTTTGCTTGTTAATAAATATTGATCTACTATTTTTTTATTTATTTTTATTTTTTTATAGAGGCATGTTTTACTTATTTATTTATTTGTTTGTTTTGTTTATACATGCACTGGGTACAGTCAGAAGTGCGGGAGGGTGAGAGAATTCACCAGAGCCAGAGCAGGGAGCAGAGCAGGCAGAAGGACCAAAGTACACTGCTGAGGGGAGCAGCGGGCGGCAGGAGAGGTCTGCGCGCCATGTGGGACCCTCCTCAGGTGGCTGGGGAGCAGCCGGGGATTGAACCGGCACCGCAGAGGCTGCGGGCAGCTTCGCAACCCAGCGGTCAACCGCTGCGCCACCGGGGAGGCCCTGATCTACTATTTTTAACTGTCAGATAAACTCTGATGCCTCTTATCTATTTGGGGGAAGAATATCAACTTTAGTTTTGCTGCATCCTGGAATTACATATTTTTGTAAAACCAACACCCCAATATTCACTATTTTTAATACATTTAATGCAATCAAGTAGAAAACACAATAGTTGAAAGGACAAATTATATAATAGACATTGCTTGAAAGTTTGAATACATTTTGCCATGAATGAAAAAAATTATTCTATGTAAAGATATCCTATGAAATGTTTCTTATACAGCCACACTGAAATGTCTTCTGTGGTTAAGGAACAAGCATGAAACTTTATTATTTAAGGTAAGGGTTTTTTTGGTCTGCATTGACAGTTTCTGCTACACTGTTTTTGAGAAATAAAAAGTAGTTTATTGCTTTAGAGTGCTCCTAATGCAATTTTTTTTTATTTTCTTTGATTCCTAGTCAAAATATATTTAGTTGAATTATTTTCTTCTTCAATATAATATTGACCAGTCAAGCTGACAAGAAATTTTTACCATTAGAGTGCTTTATTTTAGGTGAAGTTTTTTTTTTTTTTTTTCACATTCTCTACATATCGACGTTTCAAACATAAAATAAGTGAATAAGAAAATGAGTGAGGTAAGAATTAGACAATAAACTATAAAAATACTAAACAAGCAAAATTGTGTGTATATGGTTCAAAAAAGGATGCTTTAAGGGACAAAATCAACAAAGACCCTGTGATTTCACATAAATATATTTATACAGTACTTTTATTTTAATACCCAGCATTTGATAAACATACTATGGTTCATAATCAAATTATTTATGAAACTTTGTAAATACTTCAGAATGTTACCACCATTAATTGCCTGTTTGCAACTAATTTGCAAACATGATTATTTCATTGCCTGTTTGCAACTAATAGAGAACTCAGTAAAACTTGCTTTCCTCTCCTTTGTTCTAAGTCTTTTTCTTCTATTGCCCTGCACTGCCTACAACATTAAACTTCTGTCATGTTCTGCCACTTACACTTGAAATAAATTACTACATCTGGTTTGCTCCTTGTTGTCACCTGACCATTTGATAATTAAAGTGATCCATTATATACAGTCAATAAACAGGGACACACATAAACCAGTGATTAATGTCAAATCCAGCAGACACATTTCCTTTTATGACACATTCAAGAAACTTTCTTCTATACATGTTGACTATTCAATAAACTTCCTTCAGATATTAATGGGTTTTGACTTTCTATATAGTTAATATAAAACTCTTCACCTTATTATTTATTTAATTTGAAGACATACCACATTCATCTTTTTTAATCCCTGTGCAAGGCAAAACAGTTAAGAGTTAATTTAGGTCTTCAGTAAGAATCATTCCCATGAGGGTGATACAAAATAGAAACACTGTTTTAAAACCTACATTAAGAACATAGAATATGCAGTAAAATGAAATGAAGACTATAATCAGAGAGACAAATGATATGAGTGAGAAGGTTGAACAAAAAACATGTACTGCCAAGTGGAATATTACATTTTAGAATAACTATATAGAGAGATATTTTTCAATAAAAGTGTTTTAAAATACAATAAGATATAAATATATTAATTGAATATCAATATTTTATGCAATTGTATATAAATGCAACTGTGTGAAATATTTAGAATATAAAGATTCTGTATTAAAACTGAGAAATAGTTAACATGAAATGATGAAAAACTGATTTTATTCAATATTTAACATATTTGTGATACATTTCTTATGGTCAATAATCTAACCTAGGTTGCAATATGTACTGGTTTAAGTAAAGCTTCAGTGCATGTAGGATTCCACAGGGCCTTGAAAAGAAGAAACAAAAAAAATATATAAATAAATAAATCACATCAAATTAATAAAATGAAATGAAATGTTATTTAATATGAAGATTTAAAGTGTTTAAAAACTTAAAAACACAGACCAACATAAAATCATTTTATTTATAAGTGCCTATATCTAAATTGCTATTAAGATTTATTTAAATATGTATCTTCATCACTTTGCAGGCTCTTAACTTTCATTTAAATACACTTTACTACCAAACACACGGTAAAAATGGGGAATAAATTGGCAAAATTTTATTATTTCTGTTTTTTTAGGTACAGTCAAAATATGTTTTACCCAACAGTTTATCCCTTCTTTAAGTGAAGTACTTTAAGTGATATGTAAGTCTGACACTGCTCTCCTGATATTTTTGTAAACCATAGTCATAAGGACCTAAACACCAAATCCCATCAGAATATTTTGTCAATCTGTAGCAATTATTATTGTTCTTAGATCTCCTTCTTTCATTGCAATTTTAAACAATAAGACATTAAAATATTTCAAAATATTTCACCTTTAAAAAACGGAATTGCTTTGTGTTATGTTATGTATAAAAGAAATATAGAATCTGGGCCTCCCCTGGCGGCACAGGCAGTTGAGCACAGTGCTGTGAAGCTGTCCGCAGCCTCTGCAGCGCCGGTTTGATCCCGGCTGGTGAGGGTCCCACATAGCGCTGCAGACCTCTCCTGTCTCACCCGCTGCTCCCCTCACTAGTGTATTTCATCAGTCTACCTGTTCTATTCCCTTCTCTGTCTCGGGTGAATCCTCTCACCCTCCCGCGAAACTGGCCTCTACCCCGGTTCTTGTTTAGATAGATAGATAGATAGATAGATAGATAGATAGATAGATAGATAGATAGATAGATAGATAGACAGACAAATAGATCTTTAAAAAAATATAGAATCCAAAAATTATAGAATGTGGTGCCTGTTCTCCAGGCACCATATTAAGTTATAGAACTTAATTAAAGAGATACATATTTATACAAAAAATGAGCCATCCTAGAAGACAATAGGTGAATATATAAGGTATATGTTTTATGTGGATATAAATATACATGGTTATACGTATATATATTATATGCAAACATATTGAACAGGTGACGATACATCATGCTGACAACTATGAAATGAAGGGTTACACATGGCTAGCAAATTTTGAAGTAGTGCTATGACGGAGAGAGACTCCCTGTTTATAAGGACAAATCAAAGATACCAGTTAAAGCTTGTCCCCATAAGGCAGGGAAATTATAGGGGAGAAATATTCCAGATAAAATAATTAAAAACAAAACATAATTTAAAAAAAAGACAACCAGCAATTAGTGTTGGAGCCATTTAAGTGGAATAAAAGGTTTATGTCTGGGAACAGTAGAAGCAAAAATCATAAAAATGGGGAAAGGTAAAAATCCAGTAGCTATGGCTGAAGTTTTGAAGGACGTGATTGCCCTTTTAAGCCTCGTTGATAGAGAGATTGATTTTGCAGATATATCTGTGTTGGCAGATAGATTATAATGTGGAAAGCCATTCTGTAGGAAGCCAAGACCAAGGCCAAGGTGTGCAAATCCTAAAGCAGCAAGCAGTTTTGGAAGATTCTCTGTAGTATGAGTTCCCCCATCAAGGAGCTTGCTCTCCTTGTGTGAACAACTGACTCGGTGTCAGCTCAAAGGCAACATCCTCAGAAAGATTTTCTTCCCTGGTGAATTTATTCTAGACACTACCCTCCTCTTAACTTCTTTTAATCTCATCTTTCTGCTTATTTACCTGCAAGAACTTCTTTTTATTATTTCTAATTTATTGTCTGTTTTCTTCTACTACAGTATGAAGTTTATGTAGAAAGGCAAATTGTCCATCTCTCATTCACGGATACAATCTAAGCGATTAGTATTGATCTTTTAAATGATTGCATAAATACAAAAAAAAAAGTGGAATATCTGTTTTTTTTTTTTAAGATTTATTTATTTATACAAGAACCGGGATACAGGCCAGATGTGCGGGAGGGTGAGAGGATTCACCAGAGACAGAGCAGGGAACAGAACAGGCAGACTGACGAAATACACTGCTGAGGGGAGCAGCAGGTGAGACAGGAGAGGTCTGTCGCATCATGTGGGGTTCTTGCCAGCTGGCATCAAACCAGTGCTGCAGAGACTGCAGACAGCTTCACAGTGTGGCGCTCAACTGCCTGCACCACCAGGGAGCCCAAAAGTGGAATATCTTAAAGAAAGGTACCACACAGATATAATTGTCTGTTTACATAGAGGCAGAAATGTGTTTGCCATTCAAACATGTTCTTTAAAAATATGGCTTGGGCCTTCCTGGTGGCGCAAGGTGTTAAACACAACACTGTGAAGCTATCCACAGCCTCTGTAGCATGAGTTCAACCCTAGGCTGCCCAGGGAGCTACCTACATGGCGCAGCAGACCACTCCTGGCTTGCCTGCTGCTCCCCTCAGCAGTGTATTTCAGTGAGTCTGCCTGTTCTGTTCCCCACTCTGTCTCTGGTGCATCCTCTCACTCTCCTGCACCTCTGGCTTGCACCTTGGTTCTTGTATGCATCAACAAATAAATCTTTAAAAAATAAAATATGTCTACATAATCATAAAGACTAGCAAACATTTAACAAGTTCCTCGCTATATAGTACATGCTTTTCAAATGCGCATCAAATGGTTGTGAAAAGACTTAGTGGATAGATCTTATTTTATCTATCTTGTAAATCTGAAATCGTTTCCCAGTATATTTTAAGCATCCTAACAATCATATTTTAAATAAAACTGTAACCCAGATACTTTTTTTTTTTTTATAGAGGCATGTTTTATTTATTTATTTGTTTGTTTGTTCGTTTGTTTCGTTTATACATGCACTGGGTACAGTCAGAAGCGCGGGAGGGTGAGAGAATTCACCAGAGCCAGAGTCGGGAGCAGAGCAGGCAGAAGGACCAAAGTACACTGCTGAGGGGAGCAGCGGGCGGCAGGAGAGGTCTGCGCGCCATGTGGGACCCTCCTCTGGTGGCCGGAGCAGCCGGGGATCGAACCGGCGCTGCAGAGGCTGCGGGCAGCTTCGCAACCCAGTGCTCAACCGCTGCGCCACCGGGGAGGCCCACCAGATACAAGTTTTTAATGTTCTAAAAAATATTAATCAAATGAAGAGAAAAAATACAATAGGTTGAATATGTTCAGAGGCACAAATGTCACTAAAATATATGAAACTAACATTTCTATAACCATGAAAGTTTGTAATATTCTCATGCCATGTAGAGAGGACAAAAAGCCCCAATAACTCTCTGCAAGAATAAATTAAAGTTCAACTAATGAGAATAAATGGTTCCCAATGACTACTCTGTAGGGACAACAGTAATTTGAAAGATACAATTCTTTTTTATGATTAGCCACTCTGAGGATATTGTAAATTAAGAAATTCAATTATGAAAGAGATTAATTTGGGGATGTTAAAATATAATGCATTCACTATGTTGGCAAATTAGTCTCCAATATTTAATGTTAGTTTTAATTATTTATTTGAGAAGTACCTTAACATTGTTTGCTCAAAAATTTAGAAGTTATATATATATATATATATATATATATTTAAGATTTATTTTTATTTATTTATACAAGCACTGGGTACAGTCAGAAGCGCGGGAGGGTGAGAGAATTCACCAGAGCCAGAGCGGGGAGCAGAGCAGGCAGAAGGACCGAAGTACTGATGAAATACGCTGCTAAGAGGAGGAGCAGGTGCAGCAGGAGAGGTCCGAGGCACCATGTGGGACCCTCCTCCAGTGGCCGGGTTGCAGCCAGGGATCGAACCAGCGCTGCAGAGGCTGCGGGGCAGCTTCGCAACCCAGCGCTCAACTGCTGTGCCACCGGGGAGGCCCTAGAAGTTATATTTTGTATGAAAATAATACTTTAGTAGAAATGAAATATATATTCTAACTTTCCATATCACTACGTTTTCTTTTATTTAAAAGCTATCCCTAATCAAATTTCTTTAAATAGTCTTCAAATACTTGTTACCCTGTCCCTTTACTGGGAAAAGTTCTAATCATACAGTAACATAGAAGAATTAGTACAATTAACACCTGTACAGCTATCACTGAGGTTTAGTAATTAAGAATTTTCATAATTGTTTTAGTGTTTCCACCCTCCCCCCTTCCCTTTTCCTCTCTCTTTCTATATATATGATTTATATTTTCATATATAACATATATGTTAATACACATATTTGTCATTATATTTCTTTAGTCACTTGAATCAAGATAACTCTAATGGTACTTTCTTTTTTATTTTTTTTTTAAGGGCACTGTTCAGATGTTTCCTAGAATAACACATGTCTAGAATGTGTCTGATTGGTAACTCATGCTATTATTTTACATTTCCACCCCCTGTTGTGTTTCCTGTAGTATAAAGAAAGTTAGGCCTATAATTCTGGGTGATTTTCAGGTTAGATAGTTCTTGATATTGCTCTAGATAATTTCAGTGAACAGAACTAGCAAAATACTCTTTAATTAGTAAATTATTTTTTACATATTAAACAATGTTGATAGCTTTTATTTGGATGTTATATTAAAAGGGCTTATCCCTTCAACTTTTTTTAATCTTCATAGATATATTTATTTACTTTCATCAAAACACCTTGAGTACAAGTAAAATTTGTTTTAATCATTAAATAAATTTTATTTATACCTTCCCAATTATCAGAACAGTAATAACACATAGACTTACTACTAAGGAAACTTGTAGATTTTTAAGTTTTCTTTGTTTTTAGACTATAGCCAAGCAAAGATGTACAACAGAAATGGGTGCCAAGTCACACTTTTCAAATATATTTTTCTTTGTGGTTCCAACGCCAATTTGATGTGCAGTTACATTTATATATTTCAGGTACATTTTAATCTTTTTTTTTTTACTTTTTTCCCCATAAAAACTACATTTAAACAAACATGCAAAATAATCTCATTTAATCATCATCTCGTCCACCCTATTTCT